CCAAAGAGAGGTGACGATTGGTACAGAATAACCCTTAAAAACTGAGTGCTGGTTTCCGGTTGGTTCATGCAAGGAACTGACCTGGATTTGATGGTTGAATGGACTTCAAAGCAAAATATGTCACTGGCTGGATCTGCAAAGAAGAATTCACCCATAGGGGTGTGTGTGTGTGTGTGTGCACCCCAGGATGTAGTGACATGTAACACATGTGACTGCCTCGGCCTGAGCTCCTCCACCCATCTCTTCCCTTCTCTTAGTAATTCCACGGTGGAAGCACACCAGCCCTTTCCTTGTCTTACTCCTCCAACCAGGTGGAGGCTCATCCAATTAACTCCGTGTTTGTGTTCCCCCGTCCCAGGTTTCTAGTGGACGCCTGCGAGCATCTCCGACCCCATCTTCACCTCGAGGGCCTTTTCCGGAAATGCGGTTCAATGACACGGATCAAAGCTTTAAAGGTAAAAGCGATGGAACGGCAGCCAAGCGAGTCGTTAGTGTGAAAAACTTTCTTTTTTTTTTTAGTACCGTTGTAACTTTTGAACAGTCACTTGACGGATAGTTGTATGTTGACGATTTGGGACCCTTTTTTAAAAAATGGATATCAATAAAATTGAGATTCTCTTTAGGTAAAGAAACTTGATAGGCTGTCTGAAGAAACAAAAGACTCCATTCCATGAAAACATAAGCTGGAGGGAGTGATTTAATTATAATTTAATTAATTAGGATGGATTTTTTTTTTAAAAAAGATATATGTATTACTAAAAAGCTGTAAGTTAACAGATAACGGATAATCAGAGTTGGAAGGGACCTTGTAGGTCATCTAGTCCAACCCCACCCCCCAGCAGGAGACCCTACACCATTTCTGACAGATGGCAGTCCAATCTCTTCTTGAAAGCCTCAAGTGATGAAGCTCCCACAACTTCTGAAGGCAACTTCTGTTCCATGGGTTGATTGTTCACCTTTTTTGTAAAGTACAGCTGAACAATATCTTAAAGTTGATAAAATATTATGGGCTAGATTCAAAAGTACGAGAATGAATGATATACAGTATTATTCCTCACAGCAAGGGAAGCTGAGATGTTTCTTTTTTCCAAATAAGAAATTACCAGTATATTTAATTTGGTCTCTAGTTTGAAATTGCTTCCAGATTTTCTGTTGGCGATGAGAAAAAAATAAATAAATGAAACTTTGATTCTGTTTTTTGTAAACCAGATAGGCTTATTGTTATAGAAATGGCTTGTACACACTGTTGCAAAAAAGCAAAAAGTTGTGGTTGTAATGTCGTTGCCAAAGAGAGTTGGAAGTTGGTGCCTTTTTCCTTTTTTCTTCTTCTTCTCCCGTACACTATAGCCGTATCTTTTTCCTTTCCTCTCTTCTTATTTTTCCATTTTTTTCTTCCTTTCTATTTTATACATCAATAAACTAATACAAAGTTTTAACTCGGAGGATTAGCTGTAGTCGTAAGCTTGGGAATGGGTCAGTGGTGGGATTCAAAATTTTTTACTACCGGTTCGGTGGGCGTGGCTTGGTGGACGTGGCATGGCGTGGCTTGGTAGGTGTGGCTTGGTGGGCGTGGCAGGGGAAGGATACTGCAAAATCCCCATTCCCTCCCCACCCCACTAACCTGCTTTCCAGCTCCGTTCTCCTGTGCAGGGCAACCAAAGGAGACCCAGCCAATCAGCTGGGATTCAATGGGAGGCGGAGCATAGATGGGGGCGGTGCCAGTCAGAGGGGGTCTTTGCCGGTTCTCTGAACGACTCAAAATTTCCGCTACCACCTCTGGACTATTTGCCTTAACACGTGGAATTCCACATCTCGCCCCACCTTACAAAATGAAGCGATAAAGGGTTTAATTGAGAGCCACCTGGGAGCTTGGCGGTCTCTAGTTTAAAACCAGCAAAATTATTTAGGAAAAAAGGATTCCTGCAGAATGTCTACAGAGAATCTCCGTCGTCCAGGCCATGGTTGTCCCAAGGGTGTTTTGTCCAAAAGGCATCTGGACTTTCCTGGTTTTTCCTCAAAGCCGTTTTGCTTCTCATCCAAAAACCAAAGAGCCATTCTTGGATGAGAAGTGAAATGGCTTCGAGGAAAAACCAAGGAAGTCCAGGTGTGTTTTGAAATGAGCCCTTGGGATTCCTAGAGGATTTGAGGGGATTTTCTTAGTTTTGGAGTGTCCCCACCAATTATCTCAGAATAATTCTTCTTGGGATTATGGAGAGCTTGCATCTTTCTCCTCTGTTTTCTCCTTTCCCCTTTTCCTTTCTCCTCTTCCTTTCCTCTCCTCTCCCTCTCCTTCCTTCCTCCCTTCCTTTCCCTTTCCCTTTTCCCTCTTCCCATCCCTTCCCTTTCCAACTATTATTGGAAACAGGATGTTGCTGCTGGATTATTCCAGTCTCTGACGACAAGCCAGGAAGTATGGATTTTGTAGTCCCACTCATCTGGAAGGCACCAGTTTCAGGAAAATCAAATCTAGTTGACCAGGGAAACCCTCATTCTCTCCAACCCTTCTGATCTGCTTTCTTAACAATGATCTAAGTTGGCCAGTGTCCCCTTTTCAGCCCGGGAAAGTTTGCCTGGGTCTTCAGGTACCACAGGCCAGGACTGGGAGCTACAGGGATAGGATGCAGGACCTTAAGGAGCCCTACGGATTTTGTAAGGTCTTCCAATTTGAAGTGCAAAAGACTGGAGGCTCAAACATACGATGAGTGGGTTGCAGGAACCGTCTAGGGAAGAGAAGGACCAGGGGAGACAGGATAGCATCTTCCAATATTTGAGGGGCTGCCCCAGAGAGGAGGAAGGGGGTCAAGCTATTTTCCAAGGCACCTGAAGTCCAGACAAGGAATAAGGGATGGAAACTGAACAAGGAGAGATTCAACCGAGAAATAAGGAGAAACTTTCTGACAGTGAGAACAATCAACCAACAGAACAGTTGGCCTTTAGAAGTTGTCGGAGCTTCATCCCTGGAAGCTTTCAAGAAGAGACTGGACTGCCATCGGTCAGAAATGGTGTAGGGTCTCCTGTTTGGGGGGGTGTCGGACTAGATGACCTACAAGGTCCCTTCCAACCTCTGTCTGTCAACCTGTTATTATTCTGTTATTCAGAAGTTGTGGGAGCTTCATCCATGGAGGCTTTCAGGGAGAGACTGGACACCTGTCAGAAACAGTGTACGGTCTCCTGTTTGGGAGGGGGGGTCGGACTAGATGACCTACAAGGTCCCTTCCCACCAGCGGTGGGATTCAAAAATGTTTACTACCGGTTCTGTGGGCATGGCATGGCTTGGTGGGCGTGGCTTAGTGGGCGTGGCAGGGGAAAGATATAGTGCAAAATCCCCCTTCCCTCCCCCCATCCCACTAACCTGCTTTCCAGCTCCGTTCTCCTGGGCAGGGCAACCAAAGGAGACCCAGCCCATCCGTTGGGACTGGATGGGAGGCAGAGAAGAGATGGGGTTGGCCGGTTCTCCAAACTACTCCAAATTCCCGCTTTCGGTTCTCCAGAACTGGTCAGAACCGGCGGAATCCCACCTCTGCCTCCCAGTCTGTTAATCTGTAAGATTTCGGCAACCTGGTTGGGATCGCTGGTGTTTCTGCCTTCCAGGCCCGGCTGGAAGCAGGCGAGCGCTGCCTGCACATGGCCCTCCCGTGCGATGTGGCCACTCTGGTAAAGCAATTTTTGAGGAGCCTCCCTGAACCCCTGATCCCCGCCGAGCTGCAAGGACCCCTTTGCCAGGTGCAGCAACGAAGCCGAGAAGATCGGGAGTCGCTGACCCTCCTGATCACCTGTCTGCTTCCCCCATGGAACTCCAGCATCCTCCGCTATTTTCTGAGCTTCCTGCAGGAGGTGGCGGCCAGGTGAGCCCCCCCCAAAAAAAACAGGGGATGTATTTGTTGATGGATTATTGACGGGTCTTGTTTCCATCCTGCCTTTATCATTTTGAATAAACGACTCGAGGCGGCGAATGCATCTAATCGTTCCTTCTCCACCTATTTCACCACAACAGCCTTATGAGGTGGATTGGGGTGAGAGAAAGTCACCTAGTTGGCTCTCCTGCCTAAGGGGAGACTAGAACTCCCTGTCTCCTGGTGATTGTCCCAGAGTCACCCATCTGTCTCTCCTGCCTAAGGTGAAACTAGAACTCACTGTCTCCTGGTGATTGGCCCAGAGTCACCCATCTGTCTCTCCTGCCTAAGGTGAAACTAGAACTCCCTGTCTCCTGGT